CTCATGGATGATGGCAGTGAGCAGTAGGCTTTTCTGTGCATATGCTTATTTCTTGGAGGTCATTTAAGTAGCTACCATACAACATGCCCTCCTGTGTGGGGGAGGAGGTTTTTGCCTGCAGTCGCCTTGCCTGAGCTGGCCAGCAACTAGGTATTCATGGCCCCGCCCCAGGAGCCTGGCCTGCCATCCCTCATCCAAAACCCAGCTTGCTTCACTAGAAATCCAAGTTTCTGATTCCAAGGCCTTGGAGGAACCCCTCTTGTCTGGGATCCTAGAGGTGGAATGATAGTCCGATTGTAGGATCAACAGAGGATGAGCTCCTGAAAGGACATCAGAAAGTTCTCCAGGCCTATGCTTAAGGTATGCAGATGGAGAAATGGGAATTGTAACTGCTGATGTCATCACTGGTATGGATTATCAGTCAGGATAGGACAGGTTATGCTGCCGTAACAAATGACTGCAAACTCTGATAGGGGGCTAAAATAACGAAGGTTTATGTATCATTGCTACCACATCCTTGGATCAGCTGTGGCTTTGTGCCATGTTACCTCTCTGCCAGTTTTCAGGCTAATGGAACAGCCTTGGTCTAGAATCCTGTGATTCTGTGGCAGATGAAAAAGAAATGGTGAACCATAGACTGGCTCTTAAGGCTTCTGCTCTGATAGAACACATGTCAGTTGCACCCATATTTCACTGGTCAGACCAAGTCACTTGGCCGAGCTGGCATCATAGGTCAGAGCAGTGTGTCGTGAATAGAATACGTTCTGCCACCACGCAGTCCTGGCAGTCCTCATGGCACTTGTGTTGGCCTCGCTGTACTCCCCTGAGATTCTGAGTCACAGAATTGCTTCTTCTAGCAAATAAAAGACTTTCACTGAGTCCCTAAAGGTAGCGCCATTTCTGTCTGATTCATTGCTGCATTCTTATGACAGTGCCTGGCGTAACTTAGACATTACGTAAACATTTGCTGACAGTATGCAGCCAATATTGCTGATGGTAAGAACATTCTACAGAGCCAGGCCCTTGTCCTTGATTACACTGTTCTTCTCCCTGAGACCCTCACACTCGTTCCTGCCCCTGCCCATGCCTTGGGGAGGACCCTGAGAAAGGTGTGACCTAAGGGCTCATGTCAATCACCCTTGCCACAGGACACTTGAAGGGCTAAGCACCCTCTGGCCTCATCGAGGCCGTCCAGGGCAGAATGCAAACCCATCATTTAAGAGGTCCAGACAGTGGCCAACGTCCCAGACCCCATTTGGGCTCCCGCACTACAGTGTGCCCTGAAATCTGCCTCATTCATCCCACTCTGACCCTTATCTGCTGGCTCAGAGTGCCTTCCCCACCTGGCGGGGCCCAGGGAACCCCACCTCTGGGTCCAAGCCCCGAGCACTCAAGCTGCAACTGCTGTGCATCAGCCCCATGTGGATCGTCAGCAGCCTGGTGGCCCCACGAGGATTGCACAGGAGCATCTTGAATACACCCCGATGTGCAGATGGTGCTGCTCCATCTCTGCAAGTGATGCGTCCTGTTTACCCACTGCTTTCCCCAGGGATCCCTGGGGAGAAGAGAGACAGAAAAACCTTAAAGGAAGTAAATCTCTCTCGGTTTGTTTAAGGGTACCAAGAAATGAAATACAATCTGTTAAGCTTGTGGAAGTCTGCACCATCTGGTTAAATGCAGCTTGATGCTTTCTGGCAGGCAACATCTGCGGGTTAGGGAGGGTGGCTTGCTGCTCCCCCTCAGCAGGGAAGACAAAGGAGCTCCACGGTGATGGCTTTGCCAGGGCACATGTCATCCTCAGCATGCCCCTCTGTGGAAGCAGCAGCCTGAGTAGGGAGGTGGGGTCCCATGGGACTAGGCAGTGCTTGGCAGGTCAGCGCGTGGGTCTCCTGGACACTACTACACTACTGTGTGGTAGAAAAAACTACTCTGAGGCTGGGTCTGCCCCTGGCTAGCTGCACGACTGCATGATCTTGGTCCAGTCATTTCCCTCCCTGGCCTCAGTTCCGTGTCTGCGAAATGAGCAGGAGGTTACAAGATCTGCCTCCAGGTCCACTGCGGCGGTGCAGCGGGAAGCGTGGGCTTTGGAGCTGGGACGTCCTGACGATGGGTCCACTCACCTGCCAGCTGTGATCCCAGGCTCTCCCAGCCTCGGGTTTCTCATCTGTAAGCCAGAATCGTGAGAGTATTCACCACACACATGAGTAACTGAGAAAGAGCGGGCAAGGCACTGAATTCAGGCCTGGCACCCAGTCAGTGCCCATAAACAGTTCATAGGAAAATAAGGTAGGTTTGTAACTATAAAACATAAAGTTCTATACATATCCCGTATACCTGTAGAATAATCCTGACCAGGGCTGGGTTACTTTGTAACCAATTTTGCCTCCCAACCTTCCCCTGATGCCTTCTCCCATCACCCCATGCACTCGACTCTGCTCTATACCTGTCTCTCTCCCTCTGTCCAAACTTGTTTGGGGGGAAATTCACAATCAGTTCTTCGCTAGTTGAAGGTGTGAATTTTACAGGAACTGCAAGTCCTTAGCCAGAAGAAGGACCCTCCAGGGGTGGAGTGTCAAGCCCTGCCAAACCCCGCCCATTCTCCCTATGCGGAGGCCTGGCTGCTATGGACGGCGGCAGAGGTGGCCTCGGCAGCTCCACCTCTGCCCTGGGCCCTGCTGGATTGTGTTGGCGCCATGGGCTTGAGCTGGAAGTCAGGAGCCCAGAGCGCTCAGCCTGCGTCTCTCTGGCCACGCTAGATTTCAGGAACCAAAACACTGTGCGTGTCACCCAGTCACCGGCTGTCTTCACACTGGCAAAATCTGGTGTCAGACCCCACTTACTTAATGGATCAGAGAAGCTGTGACCCTGTTGTCTCCTAGGGATTGTCTCCTAGGAAAATTAACTTTTCCCAAAAAACCATGTATCTCCCACTGGATGGCCTTACAAATATCTATGGAGGGTGGTACCAAAGGAAGGCAAAAGCTTGGGTGGTCATGAAACATTGGTGTGAAGTAGTTTATCAGGTAAGGAACACAGATAGCAACCAAGGAGCTAGGAGCGCGGGATGAGAGCAGTAAGTGTGATGGAGAGGGGTCAGGCGTGGGCGAGGGGCTGGATGGGCAGGCTCACCCAGGCACTGGGTGCACAGCCAGGAGCATCTCATGGGAGCACTGGGTGGGAGGAAACACCATTGTAAACATTAATTTAGTGCCTACTGTGTGTCAGGCACAGTACCAGGCAAAATCCCTAGGCAATACCCATGGAAATAATACTATCAACTCTGTCCACACTTCCCCTTGATATGTACAAGCTACGGCATGAGCTCAAATTGAGAGAACTGAATCTCCACCCTCTCAGACACCACAGTTCCAGAGGCCTCTCCCAGGGTGAACCTCTCATGATTTTAAGCAGAGCATCTGGGCTACAACGATTCATATTTTTCTCATGGCATAACCTTTAATTCCAAGCCAATGGGCACAGACCTGATGATCTATTCCAAAGCTAGAGGAAAAACTGGCTGAGTTGAACATTTCCAAAGAATTATATTGGTTTCCAATAAGGTACATTTCTGAGGGAATTAAAGGGTCACTTTAATTGTAGCAGAGTTTTGGTAGTGGCTGACTTTGGAAGAGAAACCCTGGGTGAGATGAGGCTCTGATATACAGAGGTCAAAAACCCAATAACCATGGACACATGGCAGGTAATACACACAAACACTGTCCATTAAACCCATCAGAGTTTATGACTGACTGGTCAGTGCCATGCCAGGAGAGAGCCCCCATGCACCCGGCTCCCAGCACAAGGCACACCTTAGAATCCCTGACTCCTGTTACTTGAAAATAACAGGAAGCTCCCCGCCCACCTTCTTCCTCGAAAACCTGAGTCCTGCTCGTGTGTGGGACAGAAGGATGAGAGAACTCTGCATCTGAGCCCTAGGGAGAGTCAGTGGAGGCCCAGGGATCCTTCTAGCAGGGCAGTCCAATCTTCTCTGCCAGGCCAGCGGCTCCCTCTCACCTTAGTCCTCCACTAAGCTCTAGGGGTGCTTCTCCTAAAACACAAACCTGCCCACAGCACTCCCATTGCTTCAAGTTAAGTCCTCGTGCCTTAGCCTGGAATAATAGTAGTGGCAGAAATAATAATAATAATGATGCTGACAATGTTATCGTTAACACCAAGTGAATCTTCATCGCTCCACGAGCGTGCTGCCACAAGCTCCAGCGCATTACCTCATTCGGTCCTCACCACTCACTGGGAAGAGGACATACAGAGTCAGAAAGGTTGTAACTGACTCACAGTCACACAGCTGGCAAATCATGCTGCCAGGTGTCAAATTCAAGTTTTGCTGACTTCAGAGCCCATGTTCTCAAATACTACACCATTTGGCCTCAATGAATGGTTGTAAAAAAGTGTGATGAGTACGAAGTGATGAGTACACACACTACTTCTTATGGAATCAGGATCTAGATCTTTCCCCAATCACATCCCTGATCACATTATGCCAACTTATCAGCTCTGAGCTCCTCCAGGTCAGGGACTGTGTCTGATTCACTGTCATATGGCCAGCCCCTAGCAGGGGTCTTGGCACATGGTCTGTGCTCAATAGATGGCAGACAGGTTAATGGACGGATGGGTGCATGAATGAAACCATCCGTCCAAATCAAAGCCTGGCCTTCCCTAGTAACCCTCCTTGCTAATAAAAGCCCCCAGGGCTCTCCCAACTCTGTAAGCTTCTCCAACACTTTTTTGTTGCACCCTGTCTTTCCACATGCAATACTTTTTTATGAGTTATTGATGCCTCCCCAAGCAGACCATAAGCAGCTCAGGGGCTAGGATGGCATTTGGCACTTCTTTTCCCAAGTCACTTAGCTCAGGGCTAGGCATAGACCTGTCTGAACAAGTATCCTGAGTAGTTCATCCAGACCCAGGAAGAGAAAGCTGAAGGTGAGGAAAACCTCCCTGTGAGGAATGACCCGTTGTGCTTTCTGTCCCCACCCCTGCAGGAGCCTCCTCTGGTATCATTGACCTCTTGCCATCCCCCAGTGCTGCCACCAACTGGACTGCAGGACTGCTTGTGGACAGCAGTGAGATGATCTTCAAGTTTGATGGCAGGCAGGGTGCCAAGATCCCCGATGGGATTGTGCCCAAGAACCTAACGGACCAGTTCACTATCACCATGTGGATGAAACACGGCCCCAGCCCGGGCGTGAGAGCTGAGAAGGAAACCATCCTCTGCAACTCAGACAAAACAGGTGAGTCCGTAGCCCAGCCCCCCCCAACCCCCTCCAAGTGGCTACCCATTGTGTCCCACATGGTTGGACATGGACAAAAGAAGGAGCCTGAGAGGGGCCCTCGGAATATATTCTGGTCTCTGGTTTTCTGGCTGCTGATTTGCCAGGCTTGGTATTGAGCAGGGGTAAGAACGGGGAGAAAGCAGAGATACAGACACAAAGAATCTAAAAGCTGGAATTAGTGGTTTTCAAACAGGGTTCCTCAGAACCCCAGCATTCCCAGAAGTGCCTTGGGGCAGCTATAGGCGAGATGGGGCTTGGGAAGGAAGCTTCATCCATATTTCAAGCAAAGAGGCTCTGCCTTTACCCGTATTACATATAGTAAGATTTCCAAAGGCTTTCTTTTGAATAAGGTCCTGCTAATAAAATCATTGCCATATGTAATAATGATAGCTAACATTTGTTAGACATTTTCAGCATGCTGAGACTGGCAAGGCAGTTCCCAGCTTGATGGATAAAAGTGCTCCACCACTTATGAGCTATGTGACCTTGGGAAAGTTGCCTAACCTCTCTGTGCCCTCACTTTCCCTGTCTATAAAATGAGCATTATTGTATTATCTACCTCATAGAGCTTTTATGAGGATTAAATGACTATATACATGAAGTGCTTTGAACAGTGCACACAGGAATTGTGATCTCTGTTAGCTATTACTAAACAGTTTCTCATATCTCTATAAATACTTCTACAAAAGCATTATTGTGTTTCCCACTTTAAGGATAAGGAAACATCCGTGAGAGGTTAAGTAACTTGTCACAAGTAGTTACACAGCTAGTAAGTATCGTAACTGAAATGTCAGCTTGGATCCAGCTAGATCCAAATCTTTTGTCACTAGACCCACATGCACGTGCGTTCCCCGGGCACGCATGCACACACACGCACACACACAAATATCCTGAGATCTTATGCAAATTTGACAGCACAGTCTTTAATTATAATTCCACAATTTCCCATTCCAAACACTTCTTTTGTTAAAATACTCCAAATAAATAACAACCACAGAGACGTGCCAGTAAAAAGACGATGAAGAATGGCTGACGTGCTGTCAGACAGCCAAAGTTCATGTCTCAGCTGACCACTTCTTAAGGTGTGACCTTGAGGAGTTGCTGACTCCGCTCTCTGAGCCTCAGTTTCCCCATATGTAAAAGGGGGGAAATAAACATGAAATAAAGGATAAATCATTTAGCAGCACCAGACATATAATCAGTGCTCCATTCATTTACCTGATGTTGTTATTATCATGACTTCTGGTTTTATCCTCATTATGCTGCTACAACAACCCCCCACATTCCCTGTGTCAACTGATCTTTGCACTAAGTGTTCATGTATTTTCAGGATGTAGAAACTGAGTCAGAGTTTCCTGGCTTTCCCCTAGTCATATGACAAGTCTGTAGAGGAGTCAGTGCCAACAACGAGTTTTTCTCTGGGGGTACGGGAGGCACCCCCAGACCTGCATGAGATGGCACGGAGGTTTAGCACTGGGTTCGGTGCCAAGCCCATTCAGTACCTGGGGGGGTGAGGAGGAAATTGGAATATGGAAGGTTGAGTGACTGGCCCAGGATAAAATAGCTGATTACTGAGAAAAACAGGGTTGGACCTAGATCCTCTGACCCCATGTTCCAGGCCCATGCTGTTGCACCAGTGGTCCTTGTTAGAATAACTAGCACACTGACAAAAATGTGCAGATGCCAGGGCCCCGACCCAGCTCAACAGATCTGGACTCAAGGGGGCCCTGTTGGCCAGCCATGGCTGAACCCTCCGCATTAGCCAGTGATGCCCCACTGTCATCCCAGCACTCCCCCAAACAGGCATCAGCACCCCTGGATTGGCAGGAGCCGGCACTGTTCAGCTGTGGCTCTTGTATGAAATGCTTTACAAATTAGCTCAAGACTGGCACAGAGGAGGTGGGAAGATTTTTCTCTAACTTCTCTGACTTAAAAAAAAAAAAGAAAACTATAAATACCTTGTCCTAAATTTTTAAAAAAATCAGAAATAAATTAAAGCTTGATTAAGGCTTTTTATATCAGAAATTTTTTAAGCAATTAAAGCAACATATGTTTATAGCAGAAACATGAAAAACACAGAAAAATATAAAAGAGAATACATAAACTTATGTATTCTCTTCGATACTAAAATCCTCACACTTGGGGAGATATTTTCTGATAACATTTAGTGCATTTCTTACAATGTTATTTTTACTTCTATGTATATGTAGAATGTCCTTACAATTTTCAATCTATTTTTATAATACCTGTGATACTATTATGTTATCAGTTTCCTTTACATAATATTTTACATAATATTATATCCAGATCATTTCTCCATGTGATAAAATATTTTTAGAAAATATGAATTATATGACAGTTTAAAACTCTGCCATGTGGATTTATCATACTTCATTTAACTTGCTCTTTTTTGTTAGATATTTAGATTGTCTCCTCTTAAATGCAAATAAAATGAGCATTCTGGATATTTCTGATTATTTGCTGACCAGAAGTTGAATTACTGATTCAGAGAATATATACTAAGAAAGCTATCGGTGTGAATTGTCAAATCACCCTTCATGAAGATTGCACTAATTTCTGTCTAGTACGCTAAGTAAAACTTACTAATGGTGGCCCATTATTAAGTAATTTATAAACAGCTGGACAACAGAATTGATTAGTCAGCAAAGGCTAACTGCAGAAGAGAGAGACAGAGAGAGAATGAGAGAGAGAGAGAGAGAAAACCACTATCATCACTACCACCAACAAAAAAAATCGAAATGGCTAATTCTCTTTCATCATGGTTTTCCCTCCCATCATTGTCCAGTAGACCTATGTGGGTCTGGAGGGTGGGGAAGCTCACTTTGCCCAGATATTCAGAGACTAAGGATTCTTGCATCATTTGTTGCTTTCATTTTCAATCACAGAACAGAAAGTTAAAATAGATTGAAACACAGAAGGCTTTTATTGACCAGGACAGAAGGTGGCGTGTTTCACCCTAATCACATTCCATTTCCCTGAACTTGGCCACATTGCCCCACCTCACCATGGGGGAGACTGTGAAATGAGTTTAGCCATGTGTCTAGGAGCAAAGCACACAGCAGTGTCTCCCCAACGAGCATATTGCATGGGGCACTTGTGCCCTCTCCGACCCCCCTTTGTTGGTCCTTACCTCTCCATTCCCCCGGGAGCAATGCTCTCTCCAGTCACCTTTCACGATTCCTCCTCAGCCCCTGCCCTCTCTCAGTGATCCCCTCCCGCACACACATCGGCCCCCCCTGCTTTCTTTCTCTGAGTTTACTGGCTGATAAGTGGCAACATACAGTCTTAGCCACTTCCCTACAGAGCTTTCTGAGAGAGAGGCCAACTGTCCAGCCACTACCAGGTGAGAGAGGCAGAGGTGTCAGCATGGTAGAAAGTGCTAAGATGGCCTTCCTGACTGCTGGGAAAGGAAGGCATACTCCCACACTTCCAGAGGTGCCAGAAAACCACTCAGAAGGATCGAGGTTGTCTTCTGTAGAGAGGAGTGGGAATCTCACTCTCTGCTGCCAGCTGGCTGAGCCGCACACTCTTGGGTCTGCTCCAGGTTGGTGTAAGAGCAGAGCCCAGGAGAACCCTGGGAAAGTTTGACGCATATCCCCACGACTTTAGGGTACGTAAAGCTGAGGCCTGACTCTTGCCCAGGGTGTCTGAAGTCTGGAGCTGCCTCAATGGTAGAGTGAGGAGAGAGGGGCAGTGAGAACAGGTTCCCTACTACGATTTGGCAGAACACAGGTGTTCTTGTTCTTGTGGGCCAAATGGGCATCCGAAACTGTGCAAAGCTAGAGCCCAGAGGGCTGCATTCCAGGAGGAGGGGATCCCAGCAGCAGGAGCAGATGTGTGTGCAGGAGGGAATTATTGAGAGAGGGCAGGGGCTGAGGAGGATTCATGAAAAGTCAACTGGGAAGAGCATCTTTCATACCAGGAATGAAGACACAAGGGCCAACAAAGGTGGGATTGCGGCAGGCACACACGTCCCAACCATCAAAAGAGGGACCGGTTCAACTACTATATCAATTCCTACATAAAGATTTATAGTAAGGCCATCCTTACTGGGGGTGTGGTAGGTAAGGCGGGCATCATAGAGACCTCTGCAGAGCCTCTCCAAACACCAATCCATGCACCCGTGGCGGAGCCATATACAGACACCTGCCACTACAGAGGAGTTTCAAAATCCGTGTGAAAATGAAAAACTCCACCAGCTTTTTAAAGAGACTTTACACTTCTCTTCCACTCAGCTGCCTTTGCCTGCCTCTGACCATGATTGGAGCTAAGAGGAGGATGGGGGATGAGAATATGGAACAAGAGAAGTGAAAGACGTTACCCCATCTTTTCCTTGTTGTTGGCTGCCAAGCCGTGGGTAAAACTGATGGGAGGGGAGGGGCATATCTTTTAACTGGGTGAGAGACTGATGTTTGATTTGGATTGAACCCTTCAAGATTATTCTAGTATCTGAGAGTGACCAGAAGGCTTTAGGGTTTGCCGGAGATGTGGACAAAGAGAAGGGAAGAAATCTTCAACAAAGAATAACTAAGGACAGGAAAAGAAATGAAGTTGATTCCTGAGCAAATCATATCACCAACACGTGGGATAAGCCAGGTCGCCTGGCATGTGTGTTGACACCAGGAATCCAGAGAAGTGGCGGCAGAGGGAAGGGGAAACCTCCTAGGCCAGAAGATGTTCTAGCAGAGTGAGGTCTGCTCTTTCATTCTTCTGGTTCCTCCTCCTCACCCCCAACCTCTCCTGACTCCAAAGCAAAGTAAAGGCAAAAATTCTTTCTTTATGTATTTCCTCACAGTTATCAACAGAAACTACAGAAAATCAGTTATACAGTGATGAGGGGGACAAGAAATACATAGTAAAATCCCCATAACTGGGCCAGGGGGGTTTGGTGACCCAGAAGCTGAGTGGTCACCCAGACGTTGGCCTAAGCCGGTCCCACCACACTTGGCACCTGGCCACTCCCCTTCCCACCATCCTTTGGTTATGATCTCAAGAATGGTGATGCTTGCCTGAAAACGGCATCCGACTCTGCTTTGTCATGTCGTGGTGGTCACGACGCAGCATAATAGTCCTTATTATAAGTAACAGTTACTGAGCATCTGTTCTGGGCAGATGCTTTCCACACATTCCCTCACTGTATCAATTAAGATGCTTTCGCTACAAAGAATGGGAAGTCCAGATCAAACTGACATCAGATAACCAAAAACTCAAAATAGTAAAGAGAATGTGGGTTTCTTGTAACTGAAAACGTCCAGGGCTATGATGGCTCGTAAGGTTGTCATCAAGGTAGAGTCACCGGGGCCTGGCCCTTGTGCTGCAGCTTCCCAGATCTGTGCTCAGACGTGCATCCACTTTTTGTTAGCAAATACAGCTGCAGCAGCTCAAGCTTCCCAATTATACAAGACAATTTTCTGAGGGAAAGAGAGTGCCTCTTCTATTTGCTTTCTGTTAAAAGAGAAATGGATTCTTTACCAGAAGAACTCAAAAAAGTGACAAATCATTGGCCTGAATTGCGCCACTTGCCAATTCTTGACCGAAGCCCTGAGGCCAGGGAAATGGCCTGCACTGCTGACCGCAGGCATGGGTCCTGAACCAGTCCCCATGGTGGGTGAACTGCATGAGCCTGTTGGCTGGGAGCAACCAGGGCCCACCCTAGAAGTGGAATTGTGTTGATTCCTCCCACCCAAACTTCATAGGCAAGGTTTGTGCAGGATGTACGGAAATCAATCACAGTTTCCTATTCTTACAGCACATTAGGATAATCCAGCATCCCTGTCATGATACAGTTAAGGAAGCTTAGGCTCTCCCAATGTCATCCAAAGACACAGCTCCACCCAAAGTCTCTCTGACTCTAGGGTCCATGTTTTTTCCATTACACATGATCACCTGCTCATTCACCCAACATTTATGGAGCGTGCTCCTCCTGGTAGGTTCCCGTGTGTGCTATCATGTAGTAAAATGTGAGTTCTCTAAGTACCAGCCAAAGCACAGCTCCTCTTCTGCCAATCGGTAGTGTCCTGTGGCTACAGGCATCATGGCTGGGATCCACGACATAAGATTTCCTAAGCAAGAAAGGAAGTTTTCATACCAGGAGAAGAAAAGTTCCCATTGATTGCCTATGTATGGGGAGGGGAATTTATTCACTGCTTTGGAGAGTCACAGAACTGTGTCTAATGCTGGAAAATCAATCTGCCCCCTCCTCGCAGCAGCTAAAAGTGAGGCAGCTCCTCTTCATATAGATTAGGTAGAGACAGGAGATGTGCTCTGTGGTCACTGCCGTCAAGTCTGATGAATAAAATAAAAACCTAGAACTTGAGGAGAAACCACTGTGTTAAAGGAGCCTGGAGTGGCTGAAGTGATTGGCAGAGAGCCCCCTCAACCCTTCTAGAAGCATTTGTAACCAAAAATAAAGAGCTTGTTAACCTAAGTAATTTTTACTCTGGGTCTGATGCAGTATCTGACTGTAAGTTAGGTTGGTATTCAAAGCCCCAGTGGCATCTCAGCAAAAGCTTTGCTGTGGGTTTTCCTGAGTCTTCCTCTCCCATTTCAATGAGCTCCACCATGTGTGCTCTAATCTAGCATGATCATCAGAACCAGTTGTAAATGAGAAGACAGGAATGCACGCTTCTCTGTCCTTTGAGCTGTGCTAGGTGATGTGACAGCAAGACTCCTCTACTGGAGACTGACACAGGGATTCTATCACTCTCTGAATCCTCATTCTGCTTTTCAGAAATGAACCGGCATCACTACGCCCTGTACGTGCACAACTGCCGCCTCGTCTTCCTCTTGCGCAAGGACTTCGACCAGGCTGATACCTTTCGCCCCGCAGAGTTCCACTGGAAGCTGGACCAGGTATGGCATTCCCCTCACACCTGCCCCCACTCACGCCTTTGCAGGGAGGGTCGGTTTGATCCAGAGGTGATGGCAGTGGGGAGGGGCCTCAGGTTTTAGCCACTTGCTGGTTTTTGGAAAAGTCAGCTCAGGGAAACAAGCAGTGCTTTAAAATCTTGACGGAAACTGCCCCCTTAAAGCCAGTGGGAGCGGGGAGGACCACATTTCCCTGCCGGGATACTGCGGGTCAGTGGACCTGTCCACGTGCATCTTGTCCATCTAATCCACACTGAGCGCATGGAAGCTGGCTCTCCTGATCCCCGGGCCCAGTCTGTGATCTTTGCTAACATGTCTTTATATCGAAAATGCTCTGCATCTCTCCTTTGGTGCTCTACTACCTACTCTGGGTGACAAGAGGTTGAGAACAGGGACCTGAGGACTTTGAAGTAAGCAGTGACACAGAGCACTGTGAGCAGCGCGTACTCTTTTTTGAAGTGGAAAAATTTGTGACTCACTCCAGAGCCTCATGGCTTTCGATCACAAGGGCCACTGCGTCATACTCGTCAATGACAAAGCAAATGTCTGGCTTGAGTCCAAAGCTTTGAAGGGTCTGTTTCCAAGCACGGTGCAGCATTGAGATGGTAGGGGTGGCACCCACCTGTGTGGGTGGCTGTGCCTCCAGGAAGTGTCTGTGCAGCAAGCCTAGAGTTGGCCTTCACTTAGATTTGAAAGGGGCCGGGGGCTAATTTTTAAAAAGGGTTTTAAATTATCGAGAGAGAGAGAGAGAGAGAGAGAGAGAGAGAGAGAGAATGGCAGCAGTCAGGAAAGGGGATTGAAGAGTCAATGCTGATTAATGAAGCAGATGAAATGATGCCCGTTCTGTGACCCTTCCTGTCTGGGGCCCCAGCATCTCGTTTCGTTTTTATCCTGAGCTACCTGGGGCCCTCAGTTTTCTTTTCTACCTCTAAAGTCCACTGTGTGTACTATCTGCCTCACCTTGCCGGGGGCTGATTGCTTCATAATCCTTTCTCTTCTCCCTCCTTGTCGCTGGTCTCTACCCTAGATTCTCTCCCTACGCCACACCTAAGTTCCAGCCCCCAGGGGCTGATCTCAGAGCGCTACGGGGAAACATTCTGGGAGGAACTAATTCCCATTGAGATGGGACTGATTGCTGCCCCATTTCATCCCCGCAGAAGTACACATATGCTGTTTAAAACAAAGATTCATCAACCCCAGGGGTCTCTCTATGGTGGAACTCCAGGCAACGTGACAAGATTAAGGATGCCGGGCTGATGCGAAAGACGTTTGGGGGAGCCCAGTGGCAACTGCCTACTCCACTGCCAGTAAATCTCATCCTGCTGGGTGCCAGGATTCTAAAATCTGGCATCTGGATTAGTATATGATCCTCTGAGTTAGGAGTTCTGGATCTTGGAGGAATTGTGAAACCTTGGCATTGTTTATTTTATTTCTCAGCAACCTCTCAGCTATGTCCTAACATGCCATATGGCTTTTATGGGATGTTTTAAAATGTATAACACAAATTTAAGTGAATTAAAATAAATTCCATATAGTGAGAGATTTTAAAATAAGAGCATTGCTATACTGGTGGAGATAATTATAGATACCCTGTGGCATTTTGTAAGATGGGATTGAGAAGCACTGATGCAACAAATGAAGTCATGGGGTTGGAAATTAAAAATAGGTAGAGAAGGAATTCTGGCTCTATAGATAAAGATATAGTGAATCTAGCATTTCTAAAATCTGTTCCCGAAGTGGTGAATTAAGGAAGGGCTGAGACTCACTGAACAGCTTCCAAACTATTCTGATCTCATTGACTACCATTTATTGATGCCTGCTCTGAGCCAGGCATGCTTTGTGTGAAAGACCATTCTCTCATCTCTGCCAGCCCTTCCCAGTGGGTAAAATGAGGCAGGAGACTGAGGTCCATGGCTTGCTCAGGGTCACACAGCAAACCATGGCTAGGATCTACCCTATTATGCCATGCTGCTTCTTTGATGAGCTTGCTAATTTACACTTTCAAATTTTAATTTTTTTAATTTAGAGGTCAGAGTTATCACTGAAATGTCCATAGTCTTGATGAAACCCTATAAAATTTTCAAATCTCCACTCTGCTCAAGCTCTGTCTTCTTCTTGTCTTATTTCTATTCAGGCTGCAGCAACAAAATACCACACGCTGAGTGGCTTAAACAATATAAATTTGCTTTCTCACGGTTAAGGAGGTTGGGAAATTGAAGATCAAGGTGCCCACTGATTCATTTCCTAGTGAGAGGTCCCTTCCTGGCGTGGGGAGGGCCTCTGTCTCACAGTTCCTCTCATGGCAGAGAGCGTGAGCTCTGGAATCCAGCCTTCTTATAAGGAACCAGCCCTATCGAATTAGTGCCTCAGCCTTGTGACCTCAATTAACCTTAATTACTTCCTAAAGATCCTATTTCCAAATATATTGGAATTAGGATTTCAAAATATGAATTTGGTGGGGGGAAGACACAATTTAGTCCATAGCATTCCTCTGCTAAAGAAATAAACGTTAAAAATTTGAAGACAGCCTATTGATAATCAAAGCCCCAGCTCACCTGGACAGTTGCGCTTCCTCTGAAGGGAACCCTAGTGAGTAGAGTGTAGGAAACCGCGACAACACCTATACTAGCAATCCAGTGCTATGTATAGACCAGCCCACAGATCCCTTTCTCCTCGCTCAGCTTCCTGCATAGACAGAACCTTACCAGAAGTGCCTTGGGTGTAAATCACTTGATGCCCAGAATGTGCATACGTGATAGAGTCTCCTCCCTGGGAAGCCATCCTGGATCACCCCCCTAGGGGACTTGCCACTCCCCTCTGCTCCCCAGACTCCACGCAGGACCCATCCCAGGACTTGCGGTACCACAATCACCCGTTCGTCTGCCCATCTGCTCACTTTGTGCTGAGCTCCAGGAGGGCAGGACGGGGTCTTGCTCATCTCCAGCTCTTCCATGTGTGTTATAGGCCTGAGCACATGACTGGTGCCCAGTAAATGTTTGTGTGATGGTGAATGGATGTTGAGATCAAAAAAAGGGAGAGCTGAAGTGGGGGAAGGGAGGAGGAGCAAGGGAGAGGAAAGGAGAGAGGAAAAAATCCAATCATTTAAAACCTCCTGGTGATTAACTGATCTTTTGATTCATTTGATTGAGCATTTAAAAATTCTTAAATGTTGCCATTTTTAACTCTCTGAATCTCAAGTGTTGTTCATCTTTGATTTTGATATCTTATTTCGAGATCTTACTAGATTTACCACCTTTTTGTTTACCATCTGTAACTTACAGAACTTTCTGGCTTTGGCCAGCAAGGACTCAGCCAGTCTAATGAATTGTGTGTATTTAAACTCCTGGCCCACCCTGGGAATTCCAGGAGCATAGTATCTGTGCTAATGCTGATGAGGGCTCGTTTATTTTTTTATCCAGCCCAGTTTATTCTGGGCACAAACTGTGTCCCAGGCTCTGTGCTGGTCAGCTGGGTCAGCAGCTAAAATAGGAGTCTCTGCTCTCTCGAGTTTCCATGATAACGAGTCAGACAAACACAGAAACAGACAGTTTACAATCTCATGCAATATGTATTGGGGCAGAAGTCAGGGGGCCAGCTCAGGGGAGTCTGTGAGAGCCCATCTGGGGGTACCTGACGTGGACCTGGGGATAAAAGCCTGGAAAAGCCCGTGGCGGGAGGAACACGTGGGTGGAACGTAGAGTGCTCCGCAGTGCGGCGCCAGGCAGCCAAGCTGGCAGAGCAGAGAGGAGGCCGTCGTCAGGGAATGTGAGCTCTGGGGGTGGAAGGGCATAGGCATGGGGCAGAAGGAAGAGGCTTTAGCAGTGACTAGGAGCCAAGTGTGGAGGAACAGGTGGAAATTAAATCCCATGGGGCTTCTTACAACACAGTATTGAGTTGGTTCTTTATCCCCAAAGGAATGGGCCACAGCTGAAGCATCTGTTACTCAATACAAGATTGACAGTTTTAAAGATAGGCAAATGTGAAGAATGCTAGTATGACAGCCATCAAATTTATCAAGTTTAAGCAAATATGGCTCAGGCCAGGTCATTCGATGGGGCTGGTGGCAGGGGCTGTGTTAGAGCCAGGGTCTCCCCGCTTCCTGCTGCCACAGCCAGGCTGGAAACCCAGCCCCAGACAGGTGTGTTAGAATAGCCAGCTCCTCGCAGCATTAAAACCAGTCAGGAGGTGCAGGATGGTTCCCACATAGCCCTTCAGGAGTGCTCAGGGAGCAAGGCAGTTTCCAGAGGCACTGGGGGCTTTTGTCAGCCCAGCCCTTCTGTCCCACACTTCAGCAGGCCTTGGCCAAGGTGATGGACAGCCAGGTAAATCCATTACCAGGCGGCTCCAGAGATGCCTCTGACAATCCAGTGCATCTCACTAAAGTGATCATAACGATGAGGTGAACATCATTTTAATGGGATTTTTACTTATGATCCGCTGATACAAATCCCTCGAGCCTGCAGTGAGTCATACACAAACCCAGACGAGAGCAGAGGAGACTGCCCAGCTGCCAACACACACAGGAAAGTTTACTAATTTGCTGCTCCTCCTGGCTTTAATATCATTTGGACATGGTTGACTCAGTGTCACGAATTCTAATGATCTTCCCTTTGGACCTGTCGTTGCTTGGAGGGGAATCTGCTGATGTTGTACTCTATGCTCCCCTTATGGGAAGGTACAGCTTGAGTGACAGCCTTAATCGACCAGCAAGAGCACAGATGCCCCCAGCTCATATGAGGAAAATAAGTGCATCTCTGATAAAGTGCAATGAGCAGAAGATATGAAAGTCAAGTTCATTCAGTTGGCCGATTGACCTCCCTGTGCCAGAACTTGTAATAGGCACTGGAGAGAGAGAGAGGAAGGGCAGAGCTCTACCCTGGAGAAGCTCAGGGCCCTGCCCCTTTATACCTGGTTTATGTACCCTGGGGATCATTCTCCTGCAAGAATCCCAAGCTCTAACAATTGTGCGTGGGAAGAAGCAGCAG